CGGTCGTAAGCATCACACTACCCCGCCACTGGAAGACGAACTCAAGTTTCTAGGCACACCAGTGACAGCGACAATTGCAAGACCCCTCTTCGTCGTCCCCTTCGAGCAAAACAACGACATTGTTGACCGCCCCGATGTCTTCGCCAAACTCGACGGTCTTCTCCCACCCGTCGCTGATTACCAAAGCGCCGCTCTGTGGGGTCTCGGGGGCTCTGGGTAAGCTACCATAGCTCGTTTAACACAGAGAGCACTAACTCCTGTAGCAAAACACAGATAGCGCTCGAGTTTGCGTACCGCCGATTACGTGAAACAAACTGCCCCGTTTACTGGGTCCACGCAGACAACGAAGCAACGTTTACGCAAGACTACGAAGCGCTTGCGAGAAAAGCTGGGCTTACAGACAAATTCAAAGGCAAGGAGTTGCTCAGAGGTGTACGCGAATGGATAGAGGCACAGCCTCGCTGGCTGCTCATTGTCGACAACGCAGATGATCTCGGCATCTTTGGCGTTGGAAACAGAACGGCCACTGCACAATCCCCGGCTGATGAGACTTGCTTGGACGACTATATTCCCCGTGCCCCCGTCGGCACCATACTCTGGACGAGCCGCGATGAACGGATTGTGGGCAGTCTTGTGAGTGCTCGCCGGGGAGTGTCAGTCGGCCGCATGGCCGCTGATGAGGCCTTGGCGCTTTTCGAGACATCGAGAAATGAGCATGTTGCCATTCACGAGAAGGACGCTGTTTCAGGGTTGCTGGCACAGCTAGACTACCTCCCTCTGGCCGTTTCGCAAGCTGCTGCGTACATCCGCCGAAGACCAACGCCAGTGGCAGAGTACTTGTCAAGGCTCAAAGAAGGGAAAAAAAGATGGAGGATTTTGCAGAGATCAGAGCACGATCGGCATCGTCGACGTGAAGTCCCAAACAGCATCCTGGAAACGTGGTCTATTTCGATGGAGCATATCAGGCAGGAAGATGATATGGCATACCGACTCCTCCTCACTCTTGCTTATGTCCACAACCAAAATATTCCGGAGAAGTTCATTAGTGCAGCAGCGCAATCAGGCCTTGACGACGACAGACAAAGTTTAAGCAGTGATAGGCCGTCCACAGAGAGTGAGTATGAATCAGACGACAACGACGAAGCTGTCGCTACTGCCGTCGCTCGTCTAAGAGAATTTTCATTTCTATCCATACGGAAAGACCAATCAGTTGGGCAGGCATACGACATGCACAAGCTTGTTCAGGATGCAGCACGATACAGCTTGAGCCAGAAAGCGCGACGACAGGAGGCGGCACAATATTCCAAGGCAGCATTGCTTCTTGTCTCAGAACTATTCCCACCAAGACTGCAGGAAGTGTGGGAGGAAAGCGAGTTGTGGCTTCCTCATGTGTTAGAAAGCAGTAACTGGGCTGAAGTATGCAAGGCCGGCGTGGATAAAGAGATTGCGAGCCTTCTGAGTCATGTGTCGGACTACCTGTACGACCGTGGACGGTGGAACGAACAGGAGCCGGTAGACAAGAAGGCGATTTTGATACGGCAGAGAGTTCTAGGCGAGAAACATCCCAAAACAATCAGTAGCAGGGCTGAACTCGCATCAACATACTTTGCCCAGGGAAGATATGAAGAGGACGAGAAGATATCATTAGAAGTACTAGAGCTACGGCAGGAGGTTCTAGGCAACAGGCACCCTGATACAATCTACAGCATGACTGAACTTGCAACAACATACCACGCCCAGGGGAAGTATGATGAGGCAGAAAAGATGACTACAGAAGCACTAGAGCTACAGCAAGAGGTTCTAGGCAACAAGCACCCTCGTACAATCGACAGTATGGCTTTACTTGCAGCAATATACCACGCCCAGGGGAGGTATGATGAGGCAGAAAAGATAAAGACAGAAGCACTGGAGCTACGGCATGAGGTTCTAGGCAACAGACACCCTCATACAATCTACAGTATGGCTAAACTTGCAGCAACATACCACGCCCAGGGGAGGTATGATGAGGCAGAAAAGATACAGACAGAAGCCCTAAAGCTACAGCAGGAGGTTCTAGGCAACAGGCACCCTGATACAATTAACAGTATGGCTGAACTTACAGTAACATACCATGCCCAGGGGAGGTACGACGAGGCAAAGGTGATTGAGAGAGAAATGGAAAAGCTACGTTAGAACTTAGAATAAGGCAAGGCTGCGATTCTCTACGCACCCAACAAACATCTAATCATTTTCTTGTCAAGGATTTGAACGATTTGACGGACCAGATGCAGTCAAAATCTTCTGCGGCTCCTGGCCGGTAGAAGCGTTGTTGAAGATGTAGATGGCCCGAAGAGTTGAGGTCGGAGAATGGGTGCAACGCTCTCTCTCTCTATGCTGACTTCCATTAACATGAAAAGATGCGCACGTGTTCAGCAGCATAGATATCATGCTCAATCCCGTATGCGGCCAAGCCTAGAGGGAGAGTCGCAAATACGAGTTTGTCACTCCCACAAGTTAACGACCATGCTTTAAACGGTTCTCCTGGAGTTCAAAAATGAAGTGGAAGCTGGTTACCGGTACATCTCGAGTGCGGACATCCTACTACGCCACGATGTGTCTAGGGTTATGAGAGCCACCTTAATGGGGTATTCTTACGTGAACGCCGAATATGGGATAGACGAGCCCTTATGAAAGACCACAAATGCCCCTGGAAACCCTCGACTTCCTGTAAGAGCTCACTTGACTGAATCCTCCTAACCCTCCTCATCTCCGGACGGACTCGCTCGTGAGCCCTTCTTCGTACTCACAACAACTGGTGGCCTCGCCCCTTCAATATCGGAAGCCGGTGAGAACCCTCGGGGGCGAAGGTGACAATTAGCTCGAAGGTGAGGCGGCGAGGGCGCTTAGTGGTTTTGACAGCCTCACCCCCAGTACTGGGGATTCGCCCCGAGCACGCCTGTACCAGCCTAGGTATTCATCCGCCTGCATCTTGCACAGCGTGGACTCGCCTGGAGAATCTGATAAGCACCGCACACAATGGCGAGAGCTGAGAGACTATACTTTCTCTGCCTCTATGTCAGCTCATAACCCTGTCTGGGGCTTCTTTCCATCTCACAAGGCCCCACCTTCTTCATCTTGTTCCCGAGGACATATTCTCGTTCGACTTCTAGACGGTGCTTCAGAAAGCTCGCAACTTCTCGCAAAGCGCAGCCGAGCCTTCCACACTTGGCGCGTGAGGTAGGCTTTACAACCATTGGTGCCCTAGACGGTGCGGTGCCAGTCAGCTATCGTGAAGCTCGAGAGGGAGTGGGTGTTCGCGCAGAGTTGAGTGGTAAAACGCTAGCAAGCACAGTGAAAGCTGTCCAAGCTGCTCGTGATGTCTTGGACATTTTCTTCCATCACACAGTCGTCTTCTTCAAGACGTTGCTGGAAGCGGCGGCGGTGTCGACATGCTTGTCGAATTTGAGCACAAGGGAGTCCGACTCATAGGAAACATCAACAAGCTCTTAGGGGGTGTCGGACCTCGATCTGCGATCCGGGCTGGGTCGAGCAAGCGTCCATGGGACGCCTGGTCAAGCACTCTCGGGGACCGACTGGTAACAGCACGGCGAAAACGCGAGCTGGGTACCGTAAGCGCGCCGAGGTCTTCAGCCGCTCAGAGGGAGCAAAGTATTACACGATGGAGTATAAGAAAAAAAATGCAGAGATGGTTGCAGATCCAGTCAAGCGTCGCCAAATTCTATATAGCCGCAAAGAGACAAGGAGCGCCCATCAATACTTACTGGTGACAAGCTGGCAACATGTCGAAATAATCAGGCGATTAGGAACAAAACTTACACACAGTGAGGGAAGAAAGGCCCTGAGAGGCACGCAGAGTATCTCAAAAAGAACCGTGAGGCACACGCAGCCAAGTGCCAGCGGGGGTCGTGCAAACAGGTCGGGTCTGTTGTCTGAAGGTTGGTCGGCAGCACAGCTATCGCAACCATCTGCGTTGTCATGATAGTCAGAGCCACCCCCTGAGTCAGAACTGGGTAGTGCTTCTATTCCGGGGGTGCTCCATCCTGGATGCTGAGAGCGGTTCTCTTCAACTCCTTCATCTTGTTGTTGGTAATCAACCTATATAGCGGCAAGGTGCTTAATGCAATCAACTGGCTATTCCATGACTGGTTGAGGGCTTCCATAGGAGATAAGACGATTTGGGAGTCTATTGGGGAGTCTGTTCTGATTTCCATACCGTTTTTACTAACAAGAGGTGTGGCCACGGGCATTCTAGTGTGGGTGGGCAAGCTTAAGCAGGTTTCCGTTACCTGGGCGTAGGAGACGCATACCGTACCTGAAAGCTGCTTCCGTGATTTCCATGTAACCGACCAGGCGGAGAACTGACTCCTCATTCACTCTGTCAAGAGTCACAGCTCCTCCCGCCTTCAACACCTTGCCCGGCTTTTGTGAGAATAGTGTCAATGAACTAGCTCAGGTTTCCCAAGGTCGCGAGACCGTACATCTCATGTGTGGGGACGTAGCAAGGGATGTAGTCGATCTAAAGCGCATGCCTATTCTCAGCAGTGTTCATTTGATTCCAAGGCGGGTCCTCTTGACGCTCTGCCCAAAGGCCTCGGCCGAGTATCGTTGATGATACCAGTAATTGAAGACCTAAGAACGGCGGAGTCGAGGCCGAATAGGTCAGCTTTGGATAGCTGAGTGGGCCCGTATGCCGCATTGATCAGCCCGTGCCGGAGTTTCCCACTAGCCCACATCAAACAGCATTAACCTGGCTCCCGTCCAACTGAGCGAATTTGGTATGTCATTTCAACTCCAACTCGAGTTGTGTGCCACAGAATCAGAACTCGATTCGGCCAGCCGACCTTCCATCAGTCCTCTCGCTCACCGAGGTAGCCGTAAAGCTCTGCTCGCGTCGCAATCGGGGCATGGAACGCATCTAGGGGCACTGATCACTCAGCGTGTTCCACAGACCCCCACCATCCGCCGTTCATCTAACGCAAATTTTTCATTTCTACACAACAGCTCCCGTGGTCTAGCGGGTTATGACGTTGTTCTTATAGTTACATCATCAGTGTAAGAGATGCGAAGGTCGCGAGTTCGATCCTCGCCGGGAGCAACTTTTTGCTTTCCATGGAACTGGGTAATACAATCTTCGTGTTGAAGCACGCTTGGAAGCTGGTACAATTGTCTTTGTGGTTTATGCACTCATTCGGAACTTGGCTTGTGGGCGTTAGAGGATTGATGGCTAGTTTGTTCATTTCGCAAACGCGAGGGCGCAACTATGGATGTCTTCACACCCTATGCAACGGGTACGGGTAAATCTACGTGACACATTGAGATTTCGACCCATCTAACCATTCTCGTCGGCTTCATCACGCAACCACCCTTAACTCCCTGCCACTCGAAGCAGCGTCTTAGGCAAATCAACCCCGATTGTTGGGGTCTGCACCCGCGCCATCAGTATTAGCCACCATTGAGTTGACTGCAAGACACTGACGCGTCCGTTGCTTGCTGATGCAGATAGCCTTGTTTTTGGCCCTGAGACTCACAAATCGCATATTAACTAACGCCCAATCCAACGATGTCAACAATCAGAGCCCCGACTTTCGATGAGTGTTACCTTCGCGTGCGCCTACGCTATCGCGACGAGGGTATTGCCCTCAACGTGAGACCGTCGTACCAAGGCGGGCGACGCGTTGACATCGGAGTGCGGCTAATTGGCCGTTGGCGATTTGATATCTGGCCGTAACTAACCATATTCGACAGCTTTGCCACGCAGCCACAACAGGCTCATCATACCTCGCGAAGTACCGCTGCCCCAGAGTACAAACTGTTTTTCGCTGAGGCCGCCAGCAAAATCCAGTTTGGGTATTGGGAGACCCCTGCGCTCGCTAGCGTTATTGTTGTTGTTATTGCCATTAATTGACTAACTTCACGATGTGTAACGTTCTTCAACCCCCTGTTTTTTTGCCCTGAAAATCACAATTTGCGTAACAGCACCCATACCCACGATGTCGACAATCAAAGCCCCAACCTTCGACGAGTGTTATCTTCGCGTACGCCAGCGGTATCAAGAAGAGGGTATTGCCCTCCGTATCAAGCGACGGACGAATGAGGGCCGGCGGGTTGATATACTCTGCGACCGCGCGGGTAAGACCATAAGCAAGGCCCGGAAGAGGAATGTGAGCAGCAAGCGGTCGGACTGCCCTTTCGCCGGCAAGATCCGGTTCCTGTCCGAGACTAACGAATGGATCTGGGAGGTACTGGTCGGCCGTGATACACATAACCACGACCCCATCCACCCGAGTAAGCTCATGTCTGTTGCCGCTTTTCGAAGTCTGAGCCAGGCAGAGGCCGCGTTTCAGGCAGCGTCTAGAGATGTCGGGGCCAAGAAGCCAACGGTGGTCGAGCGCGTCGAGCAGCTCTCGAAGACGGGGATGAAGTCGCCGGCTATCGCAAGTCAGCTCCGCGAGCAAGATCGAATAATGGTCACTGCCCAAGACGTCAGGAATACCCAGCAGAAGCTTCGCCACGAGAAGTGCGGCCCCCTGACCTCAACCTAACTCCTTCTTGGCGTACTAACGTTGAAGCAAAAAGATTCCTTTCTTCAGTATTCGGCGCAGCGGAGGCGGGATGATAAACAGCGTTTTTAGACGTATAACACTTGCCTCGACATTGGGCGGCGATATCCTGGGTTGCTAATTGGATGATACATACAAGGCTTGCTGTTGCGTAACCGCTTTTTTCACCAAGATTGGCCGCTTTTCAATGCTACTTTTTAAGCAATTGGTACCACTGCTGGTCATACGACTTTTAACGTCTACTTTCCCCTTGCATTAGCGGAAAGGAAGATACGCTCGAGTGGTTTCTGCTTCAGCTACGAGGACTATTGACGGAGGAGAAAAGCCCCTATCCTGCCGTCATTATCACCCACTTCGACAAGACCTTGAAGAACATGGCGAATCCGATACTGCCGAATGCGCATCAGCAACGATGTGTTTGGCACATACTGAAAAACGTGGCTACACATCAACAAGAAGCGGGCCGATCCACTAGAAGTGGACTTCGCTGCTGCTCGAGAAGCTAACGATCCTGGCAGTGCTGGAGATGAGAAGAGTCTGCCAGAGGAATCCCAAAGAAAGGCGCAAAGATCGTATGCATACCAGCTGTGTCAAGAAGCAAATACCGAGAATAAAGTCATTGTTGCATAAGTACCCCAGCCGTCGACTCGTATTCCTGACGCCGTTCATTATCCACTCATGAATGCCGACTCAAATCGGCATACACAGTACAAAACTCCATGCTACATCCGCATGCTAGACCATCCCTGATGCCCCTCACCAACCGCCCAGATACTCAGAAAATATGCTGCCGGACCCCGATCTCTCCGCACCGTGAATTTCATCATATTCGTTGAATCGCACCCCTCTCGTCAGACCCGCAGCTCAACTGCAATCTTGTCGTCCTTGGCCACAACCTCCTGCTCGATTCCCTTGCTCCTCCGGCACAGCTCGCTCTCGACGATGGACCGGATCAGCTGTATCGCCAGGTCGGTGCCGCGGGCGACGGACTCCTCCGACGCGTCCGAGGGGACGTGGAGGAACGTCACCCTGCGGTGCTTCTGCGCCTTCCAGAGGTGCGCCAGGCTGGAGAAGTAGATGAAGTCGCACAGGTAGTGGCCCGCGTCCTCCGATATCCGCAGGTCGGAGCCCTCCTGTCTCCGTCGTCAGCATGAAACCTCCCACGGCGACGTAACCGGCACCGGAAACAAGACAGCGTCCCTCTACAATCGGGGTCAACTCACCGGACTATGCCCCCTCCACCGCTCCAGCACCTCCGCCAGATCGAACCCCGTCTCGATCTCGGACGGCATGCCGTGCCATACCCACTTGTCCCCCTCCTCCCGCCGCCGGTCGTCGTCCTCGAGCCGGTTCCCGTCGACGTCCGGGAACGAGTAGCCGTCGCGGTGGCCGCGGCGCTCGACCGAGTAGAACAGGCGCGGGCCGGCCATGCCAATGTGCACGGCGGCGTCGATGCGCGGGTGCGTCGCCGGGTCCCAGAGCTGCGGGACGAGGGCGCGGACGGTCTGGTAGTTTACGCGGATGGCTTCGGGGTGGACGAGGATCCGGACGGGCGGGAGGGGCCGGCCGGCGGACGAGGGAGTCGAGGACGAGGGGTGCTCTTTCGGGTTCTTGGCGCGGAGGGGCGGGAGGTAGGAGGGGAGGCAGCGGGCGATCTCCCAGGAGGGGTTGACGGGGTATTGGGCTTTGAAAGGCTGGAGCACGGTCTGGTTAGTCACAGGCGAGGCTGTTTCTCAAGGGCTCAAGGGTTCGTGGATTGGGAGCCGCGGCGCGTCGTCGGTCACGATGGACGACTTGCCGTCGGCATGGCGGGGTTGCAAAGGAGGGACAGTCCCGGAGGACGGCGGGCGGCGGGGATCCAAAAAAAAACGTACGCCGAAGCCGGTGACGAGCACCGTGAATTCGTCTTGCGAGTCAATCTGAGACCCCATCGTGAAGTCGGGTTTTTTTCTTCCTGCGAAATAAGAATACCGGTGGGAGGTTGCGGAGGAAGATTGTGGTTTGTCTTAAACCACGCGATCCTCCAGGAAGCGGCGCGGGGGGGAGAGGGGGACGGTGATGATCAGTCGTTGTAATCGCTCTTTTGTAAGAGGTGCAGTGCACCCTGCCGCGGACGACATCCGGGGGTCGCCCGTTTGCGCCGCGCGATGGGGGGAGAGGGAAGGATAGTTAGTGTGGGGTCACAGCGCTAACCGATACACTGCTGCAGCCGCGGCTGCAGCAGCAAAAGCGAAGAGCTGCATTGCGGGGGGCACGCAGCGAGATCTGAGGCGGGCGAGCGGCTGGGGACTTGCCTTTTTCAGACGACATGTCGGTCGGCTGACTCAGGCTGTCGGTTCATTGAGGCGACATCTCGCTGTACTGACTGACTCTCAGCACATACAACATCCCTCGTACGAGAACTAAAGTTTTAGTAGCGCCAGGTCATTGGAAACATGTGGTCGCGATGTGCGGGCGGGCGCAGCAGAGAAAACGTGGCCCGCCGTTGATCTGCGGGATGGTCTGGCGTGACATCGTAGTACAGGGCGGCATGTAAGCAGTGACCCAGTGCAGTGTACGCAACCTGGAAGACTGTCTGGGGTGTCTTCAACTGTGAGACAAGCTTAGACTCCAGAGGGCGATCCGGGGTGTACGATGCTGTGCCACGAGGCAAGGCGCTGGAGGTTGGCTCAGATTCAAACATGATTGGCGGCGGCTCGGGTGACACAGCATAGAGCGCAAACTCAGCGGTGAGGTGGATGAGAGAAAACCGAGCCAGTACACCCTTTGCAAGCTTCTGGTGTTGTATGGGGGGAAACCTTAACACGAATAGATAATTCGGCAAGTTACTGTCGAATTGTATCACCGTTCATGAGCCTCGTTCTCAATCACACGTTTCCGAATTCATGCTGCTCGAATATACCTGAGGAGCACGTCTGACGACGCCATCGTGTCTAATCTTGTAAGTGCGCAGTGCACCATTCTGTGGTGCGGGTATCAAACCAAACTTCATATCCAGCCGCGGCTGGATCGTTCATCAAGAATCTCATACGACCCAATGAAGTATCCTCAACTCTAGCCTGACCGCGGCTCGTCGAGAATCACCAACCCACCAACATCGTCATAATCCACCCGCCCTTCATTCACGGCTCTACGCATCGCATCGCGAAGAACCGTCTTTTCTCCCGTCACGGGATCCCATTCCCAGCCCTCGCGCATCCACATCCAACGTAGACACGCCCGAAGCTCCTTGTCGTCTGGGCGTACTCTCATCCACTCGGGTTGGAAGTTGGGGGCGGCACTTTTGCCGTTCCAGTCCTCGGCCCGTCCCAGGAGCTCGTCTCGGCAAAAGATGCGCCAGCTGTCGAGGGCGTATTTGCCTTGGGTAAAATGACCAATTTCCCACGCCTCGTCAGCTTCTCCGGCGTGTCCAGCAGTGAGCTCGAGAGAATCCTCGTCACTGCTGGGCCGCAGTGATTCCAACTCGACGTCCCTTTTATCGTAGTTCTTCACTCTATAAACAACGCCTGCTGTCGGTGGCTTCTCGATCCAGACG